GTTTTAAATCCTATTTGTATTTTCTATTAAATGATTTTCAATAAAAATTTTCATGAATTAAATATCAGATAATACGATACTGGCGTATAATGCGAACCCTAATTTCAAGCCAAATATTCACTTTTTTTATCAGATAATGCGCGTACTATCTAACGATAATTAGGGTATTCAAATAATACTTTTCAGTATTTCTATAATATTATTTAAATTTTAAAATAGTATTAAAGTAATGTTAAAAGTATAATATTATTTTAAATAGTGAGATAGATATTATAATGTGCTAGTTAATTAAATGAATATAACTTGATGTTTATTAATATTATCCAGGTGACTTGGCAGCTGCAGTCCGTAAGGCGGACCTAAAGTTTGGAACCTACTATTCATTACTAGAATTTTTTAATCCACTATTTCTGAGTGACCAAGCTGCTGGTTATAAAACACAAGATTTTATTAAAGTAATAGATTATATTAGCGATAAATTTACAATAGTTAAATAAATTTTTAAAAATTGTATTAGAACAAAATGGACCCTGAAATAAAGGAGTTAGTCACTAATTATAAGCCCGATATTGTATGGGCTGATGGTTCCTGGGTTGCCGATGATACCTATTTTGACAGCACCAACTTTTTGGCCTGGCTGTATAATGACAGGTAATAGTATAATTTTAAAAATAAAACATTTTTACTAGTAAACAGTAAAACATTTTTGAAATAAATTTTAAAATTATTTTCTACAGCCCTGTTAAGGACACCGTTGTAGTTAACGATCGGTGGGGTATGTAATTATAAATGGATAGTTATTTTAATTATCTTAACTTAAAAATTATTATGCTACTAGGCAAGGACACTCCCGGAAAACATGGCGGATTTTACAACATGGCCGACCGGACTAACCCGAAAAAACTAATGGAACATAAGTTTGAAAACGCTATGTCTATGGACAGGGGCTCGTGGGGGTTCAGGAGGGACGCCGAACTTTGGAACTATTTGACCACATGGGACCTCATTGTAGAACTAGTACAGACTGTCAGGTAAGGGTCGTTCACTAAATACGTAATATTTTATTTAATAAGTCACTTTCAAATTAGTGATTTAAAAGTATTTATAATTTATATTTGTACGTACTAATTGTGTGACTCATTTTTAAAATCTAGTTGCGGTGGGAATATATTGATAAATATCGGTCCCACAGCCGATGGCGTTATTAACCTGTTATTCATTGAACGGTTGACACAATTCGGTGATTGGCTTAAAGTGAACGGTGAGGCCATCTATGGGTCGAAACCGTGGACCCATCAAAACGATACAATCACTCCGGATGTCTGGTATATATAACATATTTAAGGGACAGTCATTTAATACGTAGATGACATAAAGTTGAATTAAGTTTAATTTATTATTATTATAACAATTTACACAAATACACATAGTTCATAATGTACTCTTAGTTTACTATGTCACGTACTATTGAATGACCCCTCATTGAAATTTATTTATTAATTTTGTGTTTATTGTTTAGGTATACCTCAAAGGGTAAAGATGTTTACTCAACGACATTTCATTGGCCACAAAATAGCCAGCTCAAATTAGGTGCAGTGGACTCGCAAATAGTTAGCAAGATTGAGATGCTAGGCGCACCTGGTGAATTAAAATTTACCATGCT